AGTGATGACATAATGAAACTGTAATTAAAAGTGGAAAGAATTTTCTATCAGGTCTGTGGATCATGAGGATATGCAGTGAAATATGTCCTACAGGACAAAAAGTATTAAACCTGCCCACAGCTAATGTAAGCTTGGTGCTGCTCTGGATATGGGTAATTTGGTATTCAGGAGCACAGATGACAGTCTGAATACCCCCTACCTTAATGATTTAACATTCAGATATCCATGATATGTATGATGCAGCAAAGTCACCTAATTGTATAACTATGGTGTTTCTTATTAATTCGGGAAAAAAATATTTAAATAGAACATGCAGCATATGCTTCAGGGCTCACTCTTCCCTTTACTCTTCTGCTTTAAACAAAGGTAATGGGAGGGGTCCTAATAAAGCAGTCGTAAATTGCTAGTTAGTGTTATCTGGGAGGTGATCAGTAATTCACCTGATGTTTAGGAAGGAACTACTCAGGGCTTTAAGACTTCGGGTGGTACCTTTAAAGTCATCACAGAGCAATCACCACAACTAAAACGACCCAGATGAGGAAAAGTGCTGTTTATTTAAGTAGTTTCAATAGTCCAATAGAGCTGGAGATTTAGAGTGGCAAAAAACTACCCCACCCATGAAGTTAACTCACCATGCTCGGAAGTTTTAAAGGGGATTGGTGGCAGTAAATCGTGTGCAATACTCTGACACTTCGTTCAAAAAATGAATTTAACACTTTTTAAATTGGGAGTTAATGCTTCCCCACTATCCTAGTCACGGGATAAACCCATGTGCAAGCTTCAGCACAAACTGATCAACCGAGGGCTGTCTCTTGGCAGCACAACCAACCTAAGACACAGAGAAGGCTACGGGGGATCACAGAGACGAGGTTTGGGCAGTTTAAAATAGAAAACTGCTTTTGCCTTACATCTGCTTTTTTTACAAAAATTTATCTTGGCTGTGGTTCACCTTTAATTTGGCACTTACTGCCGCTTTCTGCTTCAAACAGAAAATACTGAAACTGATCCATAGCAGATAAAAGCTAATTGCTGTAAGAGTGTTTGAGTTAATGGTCTCCTCAGTGGTTGCCTATTAAACTCAAATGCATAATTCATATCCCATTTTGGAGAAAAAAAAGGTAGAATAAGTTATTTAAATTATTATTGATCTCATAATGACTGTGTTCAAATTCAAAATATTGTTAAAAATTGTAATGTCTATATATAACAATACAATATTGATACCTTTCAAAAAAGCTATGCCTGCTAACCTACATATAAACCACAAATTTATCAGTGAAGAGAGAGGAAAAAGTTGATTTTAATGCAGACAATTTAATCTGGTATTTGTTAAACAGTCTGCTGCCCAATCCTGGGCCAGTCTTAATCTTTCCAGCTTCAGGAACATGAGATATAAAATACATATATGTTTAAACTATGGATATGCCCTTAGCCGATTAAATAATTTCCTGGCCCAAACTTTCTTTCACACTGCTCTGTGATACGAAACGTGCCTTTCTGAGGCTTTTTTTCCTTTTCTTTCCTTAGGAGTGGTGAGGTTTTACTGCAAGAACAACTATACCTGGTTTTACCTATGATGAGAAGCTACTGTGTTGAGAGGTGTGCTCATGCAACCTAGCTTATAGTTTTGCTCTCATTTGTAACTGTGTGGTGTGTACAAAGAAACTCCTGAGGAAAAATGTGATAAAATTGATGCACCACACTGTATGACAAACAGGTGGAGAAAAAAAGTCTGATTTATGACTTTTTTTTTTTCCCTCCTTACAGATAACTTGGTAGGCTCCTATTTTTGTGGTACATGAGGTAACTGCAGGTTCTGAGGCTGGAAATAGAGGCAAGTTGGTCAATTCACTGCTGGGACTGTTGTAAACCCTGGGAAGAGTGATTTGGCTCACTGGACCCTGTGGTTCCTAAACTTCACTGGGGCACACTGTGGAGCTTTTAGGGTGGTTGTGGTCTGGGTAGTTCCCAGCACTTCAGCCATCAATATCCACGTGGTGTGTAATATGTTCAGAAAACACAGCTTTTCTCTGACCTCTGAGATGTTAATTTTCAGTATTTACTTGTATGATTGTGATGGGCTGTAGTTTTCACTGCTGAAAGAGTAGGAGTTAGAAATCAGTTTGTACTTGCAGAAACAGGAAAGAAATATGTTGGGAATTGAAATCTTACAAAAGGCTCATGATTGTCATTAGTGTTGGAAAACATCTCAGCATAACAGATGGGTCCCTAAGTCAGTCAGATAAATCAGATTATGATGTGAATGGAAATGCTGAAATTCTGCAAGTTGCAGAGATTCTTTTCTTGGTATTCCTATCTGTCCTTGTATGTGATATAACTGGCTCTTTAGTAAAACCTGAAGCAATTCCAGGTAAAGCAACTAAGATTTGATCCTTCTCTACATACAGCTATTGCTTAAGTAAGAAGAAACTTAAAAAAAAAAATCCAAGCCCTCAAAAATATAATGTATAAAAGTGTGTAAGAAATTGTGTTATGTATGTATATTATACCTGTCTTTTTACACAGTAATTTGGCTGGAGTCCCACCAGAATCTATTTAAATGAAAGAGGGTTGGATAAAGAAAGAAGGCAAATAACTCTGGTTTTGTTCCTGGTATTCAGAGAAGCAGGGGCAGACAGAGGGAAATGCCTGGACTCCAGCAGGGGGTACATATTTAGAACTAGAAATCACATTTAGGTATTTGTCTGACCAAAAATTTTCAATCTTGCTGTTCTCAGATTGAATATCCTTGTTTCCTGCTGTGCTTGAGACCAAGAGTCAGTTACCAGTTTTGTATTACAAAGGTAATGATGAATCTTTAAGGGAAAGTAATTGTCTGGAACAGTCTGGAGTCATGTTCCTGAAGAGTACTACCTACTAATTTTGGTTTGACAAAAGTTAAGTACTTGGAGGAAAGAAAACATTATGAACTGGGATGTTAATAGCTTGACTGCTGAAAAACCTCACCAAGAAAGCCACTTCAGGGCGAAATTGAAGCCTAAACTTCCCTGTTTTGACTCATGCTCTGTTTATTCAGGCAATACCGCATGCTATGGACCAACAGCTAATTCAGAACCGCACTTAAATGCCAGTGTGAACTGCACTGAGAAGCCTCAGCACAGCTCTGGTATCAGCCTGGCAGGATCTCTCCACTTCCAGATCTGCCAGTGTCCATCCTCACAGTAAACAAGTGTGAACATTTAGAGCTTTGGGCGAGCAGAACAAGAGTGTTACTGTAGTCTCACAGGCTGACCAATTTGCAATCCCAAGACCAGAGGATGCTAAAGGGATTTATCTGTCACTACCAGGATCTGTGGAGAAGAATGATGGAATACTAAATCAGGTTCTGTACTAGGATGGATGTGTTAAAACCAAGTTCCCTGAGAGCCTCAACTGATCATATCCCTTTAACAAAGGATATTAATTATGTACATTAAAGCAAGACTAAGGGTGTATTCTTTACATCACTTTATGATGTTGTCGTGCAAAGAACATAGTAAAGGGACAAGTGAAACAATTCTAAACAAATGTATTTGAAATGCAAAACTCAATTCAGTCAAAACGTATATATTAACAGAAGTAAACAAAACAAAGTTGTGAAGAATATAAAAAAAATCCCTTTCCTCCTCCCCTTTTAAATTAAATATCCTGAAAACAACTTAGATAAAAGGTTTTTCTGCTCAAAACCTGTGAAGTTTCAGATACTTCTCCTGGCAGCAATGCAGTTTTTGATGGTTCAGCTAGCATTTACTGTCTGTTAGAGGCACATATATGATGGCAGAGCAGCAAAAATACTTTGCAGCTTTAAAATAAAGCTTTATGCAGATTCTAAGGCAAGATAAACAACTATGTCTTGCGAAATGTCACAAGTTAAGGAGGGGTTTTAGAAACATAGAACTGCAGTGTATACTTTATGTATGGAGAGTGGCCACTTCACCACCACTAGCAGGGCACTGTAAAGACATTGTATTCCACAATGCTGCTACCTTTTTATTTTTATTTAGCAGGAGTGAAGAAATGGGACTTAAGTCACTGTGCACTTTGTGCAAGATAACATGAAATTCTGGAGCTGGAATATAGCACCTCTACTTTAGTGATTCCCTGTCACCACTGCACTTGGGCAGTAGCAGAGTGCTGTAAATTAGGATCACAGCACACAAAGCCTTTTGTCTGGTAGACAGATAGAACAACTACTGAGACATACTTGAACATCTCTGCCCTTTAGTTTCAGACTGCAGAGGAGCAGTTTACCTAAATTCTGTGATGTTAATCTACACTTGCTGTAAATGACCCTGAAAGCATACTCAAAGACTCATTTCAAGCTGTTTACATAAGAAGCATCCTTTCACATACCATTTTCAAATTGTGAAGGTTTAGTATTTATACAGCCTCTACAGATTTGTTGATTTCAAACAACCATTAACATATTAGGAAAGCATTAAATGTTTATTAGAATGCTTTTTTTCTTTTGGCTTATCTCATTTAAAATAAAAGCCTAAAGACAACCTAGACTTAAAACATATCAAGAGAAACTGGCTCATCATTATATCACAGTCTAGGATTCATCTCAGTCTGCTTACACTGTGCAGTTACAAACTCCTCCTTTAAATTAACCTTTTGTTCCCATTACCTCATGGAATTATTCTCTTGCACTCCCCATAAGCCATAGTGTAGAGCTGTCTGCAACTTGAGAACGACAAAAATATGAAAAATCTGGTTATTTGATCTTTCCATTCTAGGGCAGCTTGCACTACTTGCAGCCAATGCAGAATCTGCCTGGTAGAGTGAAAGCAGCACTACAGCTGCAATAGAGGCTCGCTGTTGTTTGTGCATCAGTGGCCCTTGCTCCACCTTAATTAGGAAAAACTCGGCAATGAGGTACTGCAGAAGTTGCCAAATCTCACTGTGATATATAAAGATTATAGCAGCAGCTTGTGCAGACAAGTAAACTCTGTTTGACCGGTATTCTTCAATTAAAAAAATCCAGTCATACACTGAAATTCACAACTTAAATACCAAACGGAATCATTTAATGGCATAGTGGGGATCGAGTCCCGCAGTTTGTGAATCCATGCGTTTACAGCAGGATCTCTTCCACAGCACAGAGCTGCCTCCGCAGTCAGTCCCAGCAAGTGATTCTTTCCTGCTCGGGGATCAGGCTCCAGTTGGGCGAAGGCTTGTCAGTCGCCAGCCAGTCAAAGTCATCCACCAGGTTCCAGTTGTTACTGTCTCTGTCCAGCCCGGACGACTCGAAATCCCTCTCGATACCCGGGTAGCTCCAGTAGTAGGGGGCGAAGGAGACCTCAGAGCAGCCCTCGATGACGGCCCGGCTGGTCACCTGCACGTAGAAGCGGCAGCCGCGGGTGCGGTGTGTGCGGAGCTGCTGGCAGGCCAGCGTCAGAAGGCAGTCGCTGCAGCCGTCCACCAGCACGGAGGTAGACACGGGCCCGCAGAGCACGGTGCAGCCACGGCAGTCGCGCACCCGCAGCGTGTTGGGGTTGCCGCGGAGCCGCACCCGGCAGCCGCGCAGCTCCGACAACAGCACGTCCCGCTGCCGCAGCTCCGCGGGGCCGAGCTCCAGCTCCTCGTCCTGGGCACCGTTGAACCCGCACAGCGGCTCCCCGCCCGGCTCCCCCTCGGCCAAGCCGGGCCCGGGCGCGGCGGGAGCCGGCGGGGCGGGCTCGGCGAGGCGCGGGGCGCTGCCCGGGGCCGCTTCTTTCTTGAGGGCACGGAAGGCGAATTTCTTCTTGGGCTGCAGCTGCTGCCTCCGCGCCGCCAAGTCCCCCTGAAGCCGCGCAACGGCCTCCTGCCCCTGCCGCACCTCGTAGGGCGCAAGGAACCGCACGCTGCCCGTCAGCAGCTTCTGCAGCGCCTGCAGGCGGCCGGCCGCCTCCTCCAGCGCCCCCGCCGCCAGCAGCCCCTCCACGGCCTCCCGCTCCCGGGCGAAGGCGGCCAGGAAGAACTCGCTCTGCTCCTCCTTCACCACCTGCGCCTCCTTCTTCTGCCGCTGCCGCTCCACGCCCTGCTGCCGCTCCGCTTCCCGGCGCTGCAGCCGCTCCGGCAGCACCACGGCGGCGGAGCCCGCGGCCACCTCGGGCTGCGACGGAACCGCCGCCTCTCCCGGCGCCGCCATCTTGCCCGCTCCCCTCCCCTGCGGTCACTAAGCCGCGCGCCGATTGGCTACCGGCAGCCCCGGCTGCGTCGCCGCCGCCGATTGGCGGGCCGGGGGGCTCGCGGCGGGAGAGGGCGGGAGGGCCGGGGGGAGGGGTCTCCCGCGGTCTTAAAGGGGCCGCCGCCTCTCCGCGGGATGGGGTGAGTGTTCGCGGCAGGTGCTGCGCGCCGTGGGTTATCCCGCTTCCCAAATTAGCGCCCGGGATACAAATAACCCGCTCCCCGCCGTGCGAGCGCGTAACTGCCCGCTCCTTCCCGCCCTTCTGCTGCCTTTTCCCCCGGCCGCCTCCTCCCCCCCGCCGCTCTCAGGCCGCGCCCGCGATGGGGAGCGGGGCCGGCCCTGGGCTTGGGGCTCCCGCGGGCGGGGGGCGCGGGGAAGGGGCGGCTCGGAGCAGGGGCGGGCAGGAGGCGGCAGGGCCCAGCTCAGCGCTCCACCTGCTGCCCCGAGCCGCCCCTGTGTCCTGGAGGTGTCGGGCGGTCCCGGCCCCTGCCCGGGTGGGGTCCCTGGGCGGCTTCACAGGGCCAGCGCCTTCGGGGGGTTGCGTAAACGCGGTGTGTTAATAGACCTTCCCTGTTGTTCCCCTCTCTCGCAGGGAAGGGGCTGTAGAAAAGGCTGCTAATCCTTGCAGGTAACTGCAAAGGTGCTGCCGGGTGCATCCTTTCCTTCTCAGCGGCTTGTTTGTTTTCTGGAGTGTTTTGTTTCAGAAGAGAGTTCAGTTCTTGAGGGGGAATGTGGGAGCAAGTGCCTATGGATTACTGTGCTCCCGAGGGAGGACTGTGTGAGTAATCCACAGAGGCCTATATGGAAACACAGGAAGGAAGACCTTGAGTGCCTTTTATAATTCGTAGATGTGTTTTAAGTAAATTTGCAGCAGGGACCAGAAATGAAGTACACCTGGCTACAAAGTAAAAACACTGACCATCATTCTGCCGTATTCATTTGAGAACTGCTCTTCTATTTACTGGAACCTTAACTTTTGCAAAGAAAGTTAACACAAAGCACTGTTTTTTAAACATATGAAAAAAAAATTTAACTCTTGTCCATTTCTACACATACCATCTCCCTTCCCTGGTCATTTCAAAGTTACAAATTAACATAGGACCTAAAACTATCAGTTGAAACAAAAAGGTGGTAAACCTAAAGTAGATAATCTGAATTTCAGTTACTGTCCTCTGTTTGGTAATAGCATGAGTCTTTTGCTTAATGTTCTTGTTTGGAAGTATAGGTTGTTATGCCCTTTAAGGTTAGGATTTGGAGGTAGCCTTAGCTTGAAAGTAGACATTTTCTATTTCCTGGGAAATGTGGTTAAACACAGTACTGTTAGAATGTACGGAGCACCTGAACCTTATATGTGATAGCATCAGCCCAGTTAGGAGGACTGAAGAAAACCAGTGAAATGCCTTTAATCCTTTCAATGCATGAAGGACTTGCCCTAAAATAGAGAATATTCCTTCCTTAACATTGTTAAAATATAAAATAAGGAGGTTGAAAGGAATTGTTGTGTAACAGTAGCACTTTGGAGCAGGTTGGACAGGCACTAGGATGGGTAACTTTGTGGCCGATGCACTACAGCTCTTACAACATGACACCTGTCACAACACTGCAATGTTAATGGGTCCAGAATTTTGCTTACCTTGCAGAAGGGGAGTGCTCAATCATGAAAAAGGAAGAGTATCTTGAAATATTGTTGCTTGATTTTTTTTTTCCCTACCAATATGTTTATATGAAACTTTTAGTAAGTCTTAGGCATTTTTTTCTAATAAAGTCATATCTCCTCCTGCAGTAATTGCAGCAATGTTCCATTAGACAGGCATATGGTGCAATTAATTAACTGTAATAAAAAAAAATAATTCCTTATTTGCATGGTGTTTTGTCAGAAAGATGTGTAAGTTTCTTTTTACCTAGCAGGCTTTTTTTGCCTCTATGCTCCCATGAGACTAGGTAATACAGGTGGTAACAGTGACGTGCTTATCCCATAGAATATTATTATAGAATTATTATTGTTATCCCATATAATTAATATTATTATTTCCTCCATAAATAAGAATATTGACAGAAAAAGACTTTTGCTGTTTCTCACTATGCATGAATGCTCCTGGAATATGGCTTTGGTATTGTTACACAGATGTGACCCAGTAGATGAAATGCAGCGGGTAAGACAACTTTATATATGGGGAGATTGCAAGCAAACACTGGTGTACACAGCACAAAATAAATGTTAAGTATTTTATGCTGTAGTATAATAACTTCTTATTTTACTTGGGCACTTAGAAAGTGAGGCATTCTAAATGGGTCTTTTTATAGGTGATTGGAGGATTAATGAGGACCAGATACCCTTGTAAATAGGAGCTTCTGGGAGCGACAGGAATCTTTTCACCTTACTAATGTGCACAAAAAAACCCCAGACGTAAGAAGGTGAAACATGACCTTAATGAAAAATTAAAAAGGGAGCAGTAACATTCTTCCAGCTGCTTCATCTTGATTTTCCAAAATTACTTTCCACACTTGCAATTTGAGGTTTTGGTATAATTGATATTGGCATGTATATATCTCTATATATTTTTTGTGGTCATACAAAGACTCAATTTTCTTCCTGACTTTGCTAGCAGTAACTTCTATGTTTTCAAACTGCACAGTGTGCTCCATTAAAAGCCATAAGGAACAGAAGATTTCCACTTTCCCAAACAGTAACCATGTGAATAAAACGTAAGCCTTGTAGCTCAGGCTTGGACTCATTTGGGTAAGCTGCAACAAGCAGTTTGGCTGTTTGAGGATATTAGATAAAAGTAAGGTACAAAATTCTCTGTGTTATACTTTTTTCCTATTTTTTGTCCCCTCTTGGATCTGCTCTTGTTCCTCACTGGTTTTCAAGTAGACAGTAGTCATTTCAGTAAGGCTTTTTGCCATTGTTTAGACTGTACATTTGTTTTATGTGAAGTTGCAGGTTGCACTTGCTTACTTTGATTTAGCGCTGTGAAAATCCAAACCATAAGCTCCATTATGTGTGCTTCCATGTTTAAATCTGTGTCCTGTGGTTGTCACTCTTGACTGCTATCTACCTGAAATATTTCGTACTGATTTAATATAGCTCAACAGTATTAACTTATGGCCTTTTCAAGTGAGATGTATTGTGTAGTTCAGGTGAAGGTTCAAGATCTTGTCTTGTTCCATCATTATTTTAAGAAAAGTGGGGAGTAAAAGCAAGATCCGCAAAGGCAACTGGGTGTCTGGCCTCATAATTATGGATTCTTACACCTGAAGTTCCTGAGCTTGTAAAAGTCCAGAATCCCATAGTTGTGGTGTGATCTTGAGATGTGGATTTGGACTCTCTCAAGCAGAGGAATTCAGTAGAGTTATTCCTTATCATCTGTACGTATTCCCAGCACAGACAACTTTATTCCAAAGTGTGTAATGCTTGTGTGTTGCACCGTTACACACACAGCAAATGCTATTTTGTCTTTCAGCTGTGTTTTCAAGAAAAGCAGCAGGCTCTGTGCCTTGCGTGGAGCTCTTATCTGATAGATGCGATCTCTGCCTGTTAGATTGAGTTTCTGCAGAAGAGATTAGCAGGGTAACACAATTACTTCTGGCTACAAAGTCGGTACTTCAGTGGCTTGCACAACCACGGTATTCTACTGATGGTTTTAGTAAGGGCGCTTTGAACTTCTCTGGCACTGTGATCAGGCATTAAAGATGTAAGCCATATTATGATTCATTTAAGATACTAGGCTGCACATTTTTCACGGTGGAATAGGGCTTCATTAAAAGTGAATGTTGAGTCACTGTATCTCTGTTCTTTTGGAAAAAAAAAATAAATTCCTTCAACGTTACGTTTGGCATACTGGTTGTTTCTTAAAAAGCTTTTGTTTGCACTCAAATGTTGTGCTTTATATATTTGGCCATGTGGAAAGGCAAGACAATGTAAAATACATGTGTTTTTAAATCACTAATTAGAGAGAGCTAAAACTATAAAACTTATTTGGTGCAACTTAATTGCTGTGAGTAATGCAAAAGCTTTGAAATGTAATCCTTAGGAATGCTTAAGATACTAATTATATTCCGACCAATCAAGGTGCACTTGTTTTGAAACTAGTCTGAGCTGGTCCCTTCTGAGAACCTAGTATTTCCAATGCCAAAGGTAGAGAAACAGTAATTTATACAAAAAAATGAGTTATCCTTCAAAACCAGGGACAGACTTCAAAGCGTAATATTTTATGACAACAGGCACTTCCAGATGAACAAAGCAAGGCCCAAATATGATAAACAGAAAAGCTTGGGAGCAGAAAATCACTTAGGTTTGGTCCACGCCTAGCTGCTGACTGCTATTTAGAATCCTAACTTGCTAATTGACTGTACTTAAATTCTGAAGACCTAGTATGTAAGCTACAGATGCTGTTTTATGGACTCTCCTTTTGAGGCAATTCTATTAGTTATAGAGTTTCTAAGAGATTATTTTCAGTGCCTCACTTTACACTTCAGATGCTTTTACAATTTTTTCTTTTTAATGCATTTCAAAAAACTAAGATTATTGGAGTAAGCAGTTCAACGGACCACCGAGGTTCAACAGCATATCAAAATTTTCCATTTGGAAATTATGAATCTTAATTGCAAACATATTCCATTTCTTTTTCTGAATAATTTAAGTAAAATTAACTTCAAGTCATTGTATTCAAGTCTTTCTATTAATTCTTCTGTAGTATATTCCTTAATGGATAAAATTAAACATGTATTCTTTTGTCATTTATTCATCTTACGAAAAAATCTGTCAGCTATCATTTTGAATGAGGGAATCCTTCCTCCTATTATTAGCATTTGTTCTTCAGTCTAAATCTGAGCATAAATTCCAGTCATATTGATACACTTTCTAGTGATAATACAAAGACTTCTTTTACATCAGTCTTCATTCGTATCCAAACCTTAGCCAGTTGGTTTCATTGTAGGGACTCAGAAATGTCCAAGTAAAACTATTCTGTCTCAAAAGCTGTGACTTAGGTGGTGCTTTATTCATAATGTTCCTTCTGTTCCTCCATTTTGTCTTGTCCT